AGTTATTATATTAGCCATTAGTTAGCCACTTAGCCGATATTTTCATCAGCTGGCTAAGCCAGCCGATAAAAACCAATTAGCTTGTAACACTAATATATGTTGTATGCAGATTGAAACATCTACCCTAATATATTAATAAAGTGACACTGCCTTGAATACAGGTTGCATATATGATAAATTACTACCTACGCAGTTGTTTATAGAATCATGCAACATGTTCTTTCTTTCTCATTTTTCATCTATTTTCTTTTTTGTATTATGACTGTCATTCCGGTAGGCCATTTTTTTGTGACTGTTGTCTCAACAGATCACATTTAACATTTTTCAGCATACAATCCTAACAGATTCCACCACCTGCTCTTATTTATGACTGCCATCCCAGCAGGCTATACAAATTATGCATCGCTCTAATGCAGATAGGGTGAGAGGAATCGATATAACCAGAACGAAAGTCAGGTTCACAAAAAAGACAAAGCTAATTCCTATTATTTTCACTCACTTACTAAATATACTACGATCCAATTACCTCATTGATCAATTAATCAGTTATCTTATACTTACTAAGACTAATTATTCTAACCATACTTTCATTAATGATCGTACTACTAATTACCTGATTACCTCATACTTACTCGATCGATCGAACATGTAATCGTAACCATGTTCGATCAGATGGCACATGATTCGAGGCAAAAGTTGCCTCGATACTTACGTATCTGGCATATTTATTTATTTTCTTGCAATGTTTATTTAGTATCTAACTTACCAATGTATTATCTAATTATCAAAAATCTCACGATAAACTATATTGGCTGTATAATATTCTTGATCTGTTATCTGGCTAACATCTGTAATGATCTTAATATTTCAGCGAGAACATACTCGGGAAAGAGCTACATACAATTGTCTATAAGTAAATACTGGCTCTGGAAAGTAAAGCCCAAGGTTTGGAATAGTTTGGCCCTGCGCTTTATTTATTGTTAAAGCAAAGGCCAACTTAATTGGAAATTGACGTCGATAGAGCTTGAATGGAAGTTCTGTATCAGATGGCTCAAGAACTATACGTGAAATAAAAACACATAATCCTGAACATGAACCTGTAACAACTTTAGTATCAAGTACATGTTGTTGAAAGTCTCGAATGATTAGGTGTGTCCCATTGTACAAACCTTTTTTTGCGTTTAGATTGCGAAGTAATATAATAGGTACACCTTTTTTAAGATTTAATTTGTGAGAAGGTATACTATTTGGAGAAAGTGTATTAAGAAACTCCGGAGGATATAAATTATTATTAATACTCTCAGCATCTCCAACAGAGTCTGTGGAGCAATAAGTCTTTTCCTCATCAGAAAAATCAGATAAGATCAAATTATTGATTTCAGCAACTCCTTGATTTTTGGTTGTCAAAATTGCATGTTCTAAAAGATATTGACGATCATTCCATCTTGTTTGTAGGCCATAGTTAATTAGTTCCTGTAGCCGACCTTCGAGCATTATATTATCGAGCAAATAAATGAAATCCTGGCCAATATTAGGGTAAGTAAGTTCCTTTCCCTCTCCAATTCGAAGAAGATAATCAGCGAATTCATGATTTTCTGCTGCATTAAGATCATTCGTTTGTTGAAAATGCATGTTTCTTGTAAGTGGTATTTGCTGAATTGAATCCCAAAGATAAGAATATTTAAGAAAAGCATTAACAATTTGTCCTTGTAACCCATGAATAATAACTGGCAATATTTGGCAAAAATCACCTCCAAGTACTATAAGCTTTTTACCAAATGGCTTATTAATGTTAGTAATATCACATAATAACCTATTAACAGCTTCGAATGCAAATTTGTTAACTATAGAGGCTTCATCCCAAACTATTAACTTTGATTTTCTTAATAGACGGGCATTCTTAGATTGTTTTGATAACTGACATGTTGAAGTTTCATTTAGTTTTAAAGGAATCTTTAATCAAGAATATGCAGTTTAACTACCCATAAGCAATAATGCTGCAATCTTTGATGAAGCTAGAGCTAGTGCGATCTGATTCTGAATGCGAAAGTAGGCTAAAAGAATATTATACAAAAAAGTCTTTCCAGAACTGCCAGGACCATCAATAAAAAAAATAGAGGGGTCTGGATTTGATTGTTCCACAGCTGCTACTACAGCATCATATATTGCATGTTGTTCATCATTTAGTAGAAAAATACCTTCAAGAATCTGCTGCAATTTGTCCTGTGGAAAAGTTGTCTCTTCTATAAAAAGCTGTGTTTGTTTATTACAATCCAATAAATCATAATGTATGGCAAGTAATTTAGAAAAGTCTTCAAGGCTCTTTCCACATTGTCTAATGTGATCTTCAATTTTAAGTAAAGCACGGCTTATTATTAAAGGATCCTCTGGTGTGGCGTTTTGGCCAAGCTGTTGTGCGGCATATATGAAATCTTCTGTTAGAGCCAGCAAGTAAGCATCCCACAAATCTCTGACACCTGCTGGCTAGCAATAAACTAATATAGTTGCGAATAAGAGGTGTAGCTATGATGGCATTTGAAAAAGGCTTGCTTCAGATAAGCAGTTAAACCATTCATCGTCACTTTCTAAAAGATCTAATTGTTGCGCAGCTTGTTTGAATATTGAATAGGTGACACTATTAACTGTATACAGGTTTTTGAATGATTTTGGACCACGAATGTGACATAGCAAAAGATGTAAGCAAAAGTGTTCTGGATTGTTTGGTGGACAGTAATATAGTTTCCCAATCACTTTGTTTCCACTTCTTTTTCAACAGTGCCAGGCCTCTTTTTTTCAATGGAAGAATTTTGGGAATTCTGAATATAGGAGTCCTGCAGCTTCTGGATTATTTCTACATACTTCAAAGAATCTCGTGAGTTTTGTGTGCATAGCTGTTGATAAAATTTCACTTGGATTTGAACGCGTATTAAAAAGAACTAATTGTTGGTTTGATAAGTGCACCTATAATTAAAAATAGAAATATTTAAATTATACTTAGAAGCAGTTAAAAAAAAAAAAAGATTTTTTCATTCTTATAT